AAAATTCATACAAAACATAAATAAACATTATCAGACTTAGAATTCATCTGTGAATTCACACAAAATCTAGCTTATGTCAGTCCCTCACACAATTAAACATGCGAATCTTAAATTTATAACAGATAAACACATATATCTAAAATAACTCGTATACTGAACTATGACTTATAACCAATACACAAATACATACTGAAATTCATAACTTCAATAAAAATATTCAAAACAAAGGCTAAACATGCCTCTTAAAATGATAATTATCAACATGCATAGATACTACACATGCCTCAAAAAGTATATACAATATAAACACAAGATTCAAAATACATAATCCAGCTCCAACACTAGCCACTCTGCACAGGCCTCTTGCCCTGAGATGACTGATCAACAACTGCAGGAATACGTGAAATATATCCCCACAACACGGGGTGAGAAATAAATCTCGTAAACTCAGGGTTTATGGAAAAGTCTCCACCCATGAGTTCACTTCCTGCATGAAAGGTCAGATACATAATATAGCATACATCATACAAGCACAAAATAATATCAGACTACTCGTCTGTATAGATAACTCCAAGACTTGAAACCCAAGAACAACCAGAGCCAACCAGTTCAGGTGCACTCATGGCCTATCTGATATGTTCATTATACAAGAACCATTAAATCACAACTTATATCACATCAAATAATGTTATCACATATACGAATGCAACTACACTACATATCCGACTATCAAAAAATACAAACATAAAGATATACCTCCAAGATCATGAAATCCTGGTAGAACAAACAAAGAGGAAGAATCCTCCTAAACCAAGAGCTTACCACTCGTAGCTCCTAGCAAGTTTACTTATACCACAAGTAACTAAGTCAAATCCTCTGAACACTGATAAGGAATCATTGTACCTCCCGATTCACACTTGTACCCAGATATACATCAGACTTGACATACATACAACACCTTGTAACACAAGATTCACATCTTGTCCAACTCGCATTACACTCTTAACAATTCACTTTCAACAATTCATGCACATGCCATAAGTCAACCTACCCATAAACTTGACATTAAATTAGAGACTTAATCATTCAAACATACTTAAACACTCTTCATTTAAGTTTCTAGGGTTTAGTTATTAATTAACTACAATTTCAACCATAATGATCCCTACATGGCCGAATCTTAACCCACACATTCACACACATTTTCATGCTTTTCGTTCATCATTCTTTACACCACTTTAACATTTAATCATGCATCAAAACATACACTTAGACTTAAGCTTTCAAATCATTGATTTTATGTCCTTTAAGTGTCAAATTACAATCTTAACTTCAAACATTTAATCAAACCATTCCAACACATTTCCTTATACATCAAATGCAATTAACACCATTAAAAATGAATTAAACAACATGGATGCCATTTTAACTCCACATAGCCAAAACACACATAGTTTATTTTCATGACTTTTATGCATTCAAACTTTAATCCAATGACATCAAACACTTAATTAATCATTGAATTCATGCTTCAAACATTCATTAATCAAATTATATACAAACCTTAAATATACATGGCCGAATTGAATGTACACAAATGACCTATGTAATTCTTTATATTTTCATCACTTAATTCATTATCAAATCATCACAAAACATTAATTCCATTACCATTAATACATGAACACATCATTATCATACACTTAGCATGCATGGCCAAAATTACAACTTGAAGAATCAACACTTTGCATGCATTTTTCTTGACATATAAACCATTGATTAAACATACAATCATCAATCAATCACCAAATCATACCAACAAAAATGTAAACATCATCAAACCATATAAAACTCTAATTTACTATTCATGGTCGAAACCTGACTTTCTTGCACTTTTTCAAGAATTCAAGATGTTGTCTTTAAATTACATGATTAATAGACCAATTTCCAAAACAAAACCACTTCAAAATTCATTATCAACATACATAGAAATTCATGTTGTACACAAGAACACAAATATTCATAAATTATCATCCAATCAACAAAATTGACATCAATTACCTTGTATAGCTTCCTTTAGGTAATCATAAGCTTTTCCAACACAAAAACCAAGAAAACACTCATTCAAAACACCATAGGGTAGCAGCCATAACCAACCTTTAGGAAAGGATATCGCTCTCAAAACAAGGCTAGAAGGTGTATGGTTTTAGAGGTTTTGCTCACAAGGAATCATTTTCATGTTGAAACTTTCTTGAAATAATGGCTAGAAATCAAGTTCTCTCAAACTCTAACACACCATGAAAGCTATGGTCATGAAGGAGAAGAAGAAGAAGATATTTTGTGTGTCTTGAAGAAAGAAAGAAAAGAAGACAAGTGGTTTGAAATTCAAAGGCTTAATGGTTAAGTTTTTCATTACTTTTTTACTTTTTAACCTAGATATTTTTATCACACTTTAGCCAAGCTTCCAAGATAAGTCTCCCACTCTCCCAAATTAGTTTTGCATCCTGGAAGACACCAAAGAAGGGAAACAAACCGACTTGGTTAGGAAAAGGAGGGATAACACATAAAAATTGACTTTTACATGTATAAAGTAACTTAATTCTCATTGGTTTTCACTTTACACATCACACACTTGAACTTTTGACCAACCAATCACACAATAACATAATGACACAACACAAATAGCAAACAAAGCAAGACATTTATCTTTGACCAAGAATTAAACCTAATTATAAAGTTAAAAGCCTACTTTTAACCTAGTTGACTTTTTAATTAATCAATCTTTGACCTAATTCTTTAAATTATTCTATACATCATTTAATTAAATTAGCCACATATATAACCCTTAAAATTCATAAGAGAATTTAACTAGACTATCAGAACTCAGTTCAGACATAGTTTGCAAAATTGCCAAAATATCCCCGTTATCACAATTTCTGCATTTATGTCTCTAAACACAACTTATGTTCTTTTTAGGTTATAATTGACTTGTTAGACATGAATTGTATCCTCACATCTATTATCATGATAATTTCATGATTCAACTGATAGAATTCTCTTAAGAGTCACAAAATTCACACAGTGTCTCACTTAACTCTCAATTTCATATACTTTGAAAATTAAAGTTATTATAGTACCTAATGATGGTGACTCTTATTTATAGTGAGTTACGTGACTCGGCCTCCACTTCTTCTATTATGAGGCCTTATCTCATTGTTCTGATAATATCTCTTATTATCCTTTACTAGTATGATATTTGATTGTCTCTTGGGTTGTTGATATATGGAGTCAATATCTTGGTCCATAACAATTATAATACAGGGGCACGTGGTTGTGGATTCATTTCTATATTCATTTTTAAACTGTCACCAACACTATATCTTAGCGATGTCAAAGTTGATTTGATAAAAAAGTCTAACAACAAATTGTCATTACTTGAGTTGTTATCACTTTCGTTTGGCCCACTCTTGTAAGTTTGCTGATATTGCTCATTAACATTGAGAAAAGAGTCGTCTCGAAGTACGTCAGCTTAATTTTGGCTGTCTCCAAACTCTCATTGTTCATGTTCTCTTTAAATTTTATTTTTTAATTTCTCTATCAGTTTATCATTACTCAATTAATCTAGTTGAATCAGATAGGAAGGGCCCATATATATAACATAAGGATTTATCATCTATCATTTAACATGATCACAAAAACTCTTATAAAACCCATAACATAATTGCATATTCAGAATTTGAACTTGAGAATACTGATTAAACTGAATCAAACTCAGACCAATTAATCTATGTGTTTGATGTTCTCCAAAAACTTCTCTCGAGTCTTCTTAATTATCATGCATGTTATGTATTGTGTAGATTTAGTTTTTGTAATAGTTGTGAGTGAGTGATTGAAGGCTGAAAAGTGAAAGCTTGAAATTGAGAAAGAAAAAGAGGGGAACAGCAACGTAGAAAGGAACCGAATATGTGCTGCTTTGAGAAACACGTGAAGAAATCGACAAAGCCATGACTTTGATAAGCTGTGGAATGTGAGAAAGCCATGTAACAATCTTCAACAAAAAAAGAAAAGAAAAGAAAGCCATGTAACAAATCATAAACGACATGCTCTCAGCTTCATCCTAACCTAATATATATTAATTCCTTCTTTTCACCAAGGAATAATATCTTAGTGGTTTTAATATTGTTGGGCATGAAAAAAGTTGTATGTTCAATCCATATGACAAATTTGAGAGAATAATTAATTAGAGGGAGAATCTATAAATCAAAATAAATTTAAAGGACAATATTTTTATGTGAAAATTTCAGAAGCCTCAAATAGAAAAAAAAAAATTGTTTTAAATTATAAAAAGTATTTACATAATTAATTTAAAATTTACAATTTACAATTTTAAAAGTAAAAAATAAGAATGATATAGACAAAGCAATCTAAAAATTAAATCACTTTTAAAAAATATTTAATTTAATATATAAATGAATGAATTCAAAATTAAAAAATAAAAAATATGTTTATTATTTAAAAGATAATAAATAAATTTATTTTGAAATATATTTGTAATTTTAATTGATGATAACTATATCATGCCCCATTTAATTAAAGAGAAAAATATTTGTTAGTTAAAACTAATATTTTTATTAAAATTTAAATTAATAAAAAATATCTCACTTTTTTCCTAATAATTTTTATTATATACCTCTTTCTCACTTAAAATAATACATTCTCTATCTTTTAAAAAGAGAAACACCAATCCGTTTAATAAATAAAAACATTTCAGAAAACTGCCTGGGTCCACAAAACATGTTGTTAGCAACTTCCTAAACGGGCGTCACTTCCATAAGTTACGTGTAAGCAGACACGTGGCAGTTATGTGTCAGATAATTAGCTGTATTGCCATTAACAATTTGCCACGTGTACTATGTTGGACACGTGTGTAGAAGATAGAGGGGCACCTAAATCTATATAAACGCAGGGTATTAACCTGCTACTTCAGTTGGCCATTGAAATTGAAATTGATCTGAAGAAGAGAAAAAGATAAAAAGATAAAAAGAAAATTGGAGAGTTTTAGAGAGTGAAAATGCAGGCTGCAAGGAAAGCAGTAGAGACCATTAAGGAAACCGCCGCTAACATTGGCGCCTCTGCTAAGTCTGGTTTGGATAAGACCAAGGCCACTGTCCATGAGAAGGTTTTCATTTTCCTTTTTTTTTTTTATCTTATAATTTTTTATTTTTATATGTTTATATTTTATCTCTTAGCATTTCTTTATTCATTGTTAATGAAATGTACCATCTTTTTATCATTATTTTTGGCAACGTTGTTGTTCATTATCATTATTGTTAGTGTTGTTATTTAATAATAATATTTTAACATGTTGATTTTGCGTATGAGTGTGACGTACAAAAAAATTTCTTCAATCAAACAGAAATATTTTTTTCCCTATCTTAACATATAATATCATAATAATATTGTATGTGTTACAAAAGCAATGATTCACAAATAGAACAATAATGGATTTATTTTTTTCTTTTATAGACAATTGTTTAACATTGTTTGTTTTTTAGAGTAGAGTAATTCAATTATATTAGAGATCAATTTTGATGTTAATTTATCAATGTGCTAAATAAATTGAATGGTGGGTCACTTCTTCTCTTTGGGGTGCTACTAATTAGTGCAAAATTTTTGGAAGTGATGAATATGTGTATTGTGTTATATGGCTCAACAGGCTGAGAGGATGACTGCACATGATCCAACGCAGAAGGATATGGCAACCCAGAAGAAAGAGGAGAGGATCAACCATGCTGAGATGGAGAAACAGGAGGCGCGTGAGCACAACGCAGCGGCCAAACAGTCTGCCACGGCTGGCCACATGGCGGAGGGCCACTACACCGCCACTGGGCCCGGGACTGAGACTGCTACATACTCCACCACTGGTGAGTATGGACAACCAATGGGGGCTAACCACATGTCAGCAACTCATGGGCATGGGCTTGGGCATGGAGAACTCATGGAAGATGTAATGGGCTCACATCAAGTTGGGATGAACACAGGCATGGGTAGGACCACGGGCCATAATACCCATGTGGGTGGAACTGCCCCACGGAGTGGGCCTGATTTCAGTTGAATAGTTAGTTAAGTTTGAATGTCCATTTGTGTGTGTAGTTAATGTTCTGTTCAGTCATTGTTTTGTTTCAAGTTATAGTGCTACCAGTTACATACGTTGTTTATCTCTCTCTCTTTTTTCTCTAAAAAAAAAAAAAAAAATAGTCATTTTAGGTGTGGGACCAGTGTTGTATGCGGTATACATTCTGTGTACCGTGAAGTTACTATATACCTGTTTGTTTCAACAAATAAAAGTGTGGTTGTGCAAAAACTGATGATGGTTATAGTTTTTGGATTTTATTTCAATTTTATAAAGAATATAGATATAGATATAGGTATATGTGCCTCGACATTAATTTGGATTTTCATTCCAATTTTATGTGGAATGTGGACATACGTATATGGAAAAAGTGTTTGTCATTTTAAATGACATAAATTTTATGTCATTTTAAGAGAGAGAGACATAAAATAATTTTTTTATTTAAAATTTAAATTAAAAAAAAATCACCCACTTTTTCTCTCTCATAATTTTTATTTTTTGTGTCTATCTCTCTCTTAAAATGACATAACTTATATCATTTAAAATGACAAACACCAAACCCTATATATATATATATATATATATATATATGCATCAACAATATTTTTATGAATACATGAAATCAATTGTGAGATATGGGTTGTAAAATATAAGAGAACAAGAGGATAAGGAATTGCCACAATTCTTGGATAGGATGGTTGAGCCTTTCATATTTCAAAGCCAGATAGCAACAAGATTTATGTATCTTCATTTTGATTTGTTTATTTTTCAGTAGATATTTTTACAAAATTGTGTGGTTTAGAAAAAATAAATTGAACCGAGATTGTTACAATTTAACTAAGGGGTTAGTGTTTATCCTTTAAAATGACTTAAAGTTGTATCATTTCACATAAGAGAATGATATAGACAATGGGAATAATGGGAGAAGAGAGTGGGAGATTTTTTTAATTTAAATTTTAAATAAAAACACTAATTTTAACTAAAAGGATCTTCATTTAAAATGATAAATATTTTATAAAACACTATTAAAATTAAAATAATATATCATGCAGATGATTATAAAACACCAAATAACAATAAATCAGAGTTATAGTTATGTGTACCTTGTTGGGCCATCACAAAGTCGGAGAAAACCGCAGGAAATGAGAGAACAAATGCTAGAGTCTTCCTCTCTATCACTTATTCAAAAGTTGACAGCCAGGCTGGGAACATAATGGCTTATAAAGTTTAAAATGGTCTCACTTTCGAGTTCCTAGCAAATGTGTTTAATGATAGTGAGAACTTTGCCATTAATGTGGTTCAACCCGATTCAAATTGGATTAATCAAATTAATCGATAAACCAATGGATAATATTCGAAAATAAATAAATTGAAATGCAAAATTCAGAAAGTTCTATAATTGGATGGTAACTTCACACGATTTGATGCAATTTTAATGTAAATCAGACGCTTATAATTGGATCTATGAAAGTCCCCTAGTATTTAGGTTTAATTTTTTGAAGTAAAAAAGATCTTTGATTTAAAAATCACATTCCTTGTAAGGGTTCTTGTTTGTTTGTTTGAAGAGGGTGTTTGTTTGAACTTTGAAAACGTAAATATGAGAAAGGAAAAATTAAAATGTAATTTGCAGTATAGTATAACAATGCAAGGTTTGTACGATGGCTGAAAGTGAAGTATTTTATGTCTTAAATTTCAACTACATTTACGAGAAGTTAAAATGTATTGGGCTAGCTCTGACACCAATTGTTGGGTCGTGTAGAGGGAGTTTATAGTGGAAGAAACTGTCAATAATGGGCCAAGTGAGCAATGATATTAAATAAGCTTAGAACATCATAATCAAACTCAAAACCTTAAAGTATTAGGTGCATAGGTTCTTCCACTCATATCGTGTTCACTTAATCCATTCTTAAACAATGTAGGACTTTTTACTCAATCATTCATACTTGAGTTCCTCTCAACAACGAAAATATAAATATGAGAAAGGAAAAATTAAAATGAAATTTTCAATATAGTACAACAATGCAAGATTTGTAGGATGGTTGAAAGTAAAGTATTTTGTGTATTAAATTTCAACTACATTTATGAGTAAGTTAAAATGATTTTTTTTTTCTGTTTTTAAAAATATGTTTTTTAGAGCTAAAACATTTCTAGATTCAGATCGATTTTGATTAGTTTTCAAATGTTTACATCATCATCTCAGATATGTGAATGCCCAATATATGGATTCGTGAAATGCGGCTTTTGAAGTCTGGTTGTAGCAAAACATCCTTGCAATTTAAAATTAGTTCCCCTTCTCTTCAAATCGAATTGCAGCATGCTCAGCTTTGAAAGTGCTTTTCATTTATTTCATTGTCATTGAAATGTAATAGTGAGTGACTCCCCCTCGATTAAGATAAAGAGGAAAAGGACTAAAAAACAATTTTATTTCATTGTCAATAATTGTATCAAAATCAGTAGTTGGTATGCTCTTAGTATTTTGAGAGGCTTCTGCATAAAGTTAGTGTGATTTAAATATTTAGAAGAAAAAAAAAACTTCTACATAAGTTTCCCAAGGGGAAACTTGATGCTGAGCTTAAGGGGAGCATAATATTGAGAATATTCAAGTCTGAGTGGTGGTGAAATCTCATATTAGATAGCAATAAATTAAATGAGAATTATATACATGCAAAATACTCATAAATCTACTGTCTTAAACTTTTGCGGTTAGATATGATGTCAATTCATTTATTGTGTTTTGCTATTTGACCATTGATAGAGATATTATTTGAAAAGGGTTTTTGACTCCCTCACACCATCCCAACATTTTGTACTAATTTACAAATGTGATTTTATTTTATTTTATATGGTATGCTTCAACTCTTCTTCACTTTTACCATGATAGTAGTATTTTTAACTGGTTGACTTCGTTTTTTTTTTGTAAGCAGTAGTTGACTTACTTTAATTTTTGCTAGTTCTCATATTTGGCACATGTCTACCTGATCCTTTATTTTTTTTTTGAAATCTTTTCTTTCATTATTACTTTATGCATACTTTCCTTAATGTTTACTTTTCATTTTGAGCTATTCTTATACCTTTTATCACTATCCAAACACCTTTTATTATTTTGAGCTAATCTTTCATTTTCTCTACTCTTATACTATTCCATTTCGTGTTCGTCCAAAAAATTTATTCTAATTATGCCTATCCAAATATCCTCTCATTTATTTTTTAAAAATGATATTGATTTCTTTTCTAAAAGGAAAACAATGGGTTTATGATAGCTACTACACAATTCTAACAAAGATTAAGTATCTGTATAGTATTGGATTAACAACGGTAATTCGAGGCTACTGGCAACTCCAGAATTACATAAGAGAAAGAAAAGAGAATTCAGTGTATGTTTTGAGATGAGATCTACAGAGTAATCAGATCTCTTATTTCAAAGAAAAGAGACAACAAAGCCACTATGGGTTTCTACACTCCAGGCCCACTACAAGTAATACTTTATTTGGGTCTTCCTTCCTTTATTTATTGGGCCTTTAGTCAGTTACTGCCCATCAGATAATCCTTAGTCCATCTAGCTCTCATCTTTACTATATTTCCCCTTTAGGAACTTCTTCTGCTTGTCTACAAGGTTCCTTCACATCTTCCTCTGTCGGTTGTTCACCGCTGCCATGTGTGTCCTCTCTGTCTTGTCGAAGGATCATATCAGATCCCTCCTCCCTTAAAAACTCGAGCTGGCCCTCAAGATCGAACTGGGGAAATGCTTGGTGAAACTCAGCTACTGACACCCAAGAAGCATCCTTTAATGGCAAGCCACGCCATTGAACAAGGATCTGCAAATCCGAAGCTTTACCATTCGGCACAGTGCGAGAGCGAACGATGGTGACTGGTTCTGTCACTGAATTATTCTCCCAATTCACTGGGGGTAGCGGTTGTGGATGGAAGAACAGATTGTGATGGTAGGCCTTCAACAGGGATACATGGAAAATCGGGTGAATAAGCGAGCCCTCTGACAACGTCACGCGGTAAGCAACTGGTCTGATTCGTTTAGAGACCGAAAATGGGCCATAATATCTTCGTCGTAGCTTGGAGAAGGTTTAATTGCGGATCAATTTCTGTCGGTAAGGTTGAGGCTTGACCAACACCTGATCTCCTATGGCAAATTGCACATCTCGACGGTGTTTATCCGCCTGTTTCTTCATGCGTTGGCGTGTCCTATACTGGTTGTCCTGAAGGTGTCTGATGATGGCATCTCTTTGAGTTAACAGAGTATCCACGACCTCAATCGGTGAAGCTACTCCACCGTATGGTTGCAACACTAGAGGAAGACGACCATAAAGCACCTGGAATGGGGATGAACCAATAGAAGAATGAAAGGACGAGTTATATGAGAATTCAGCCCACGGTAAATATTAGACCCATCTTCGTGGATTTTCCATCGTATAGCAGCGCAGGTATTGTTCTAAGCCTCTGTTAGTAACCTCTGTTTGACCACCACTTTCTGGGTGGTTTGTAGTACTGAAGTGGAGACAAGTGCCACTTAATCGCGACAATTCCTGCCAAAATTTGCTGATGAACACGCGGTCACAATCTGAAACAATGGAGAGTGGGATCCCATGGTGACGGAAGACGTCGGAGACGAAGACTGAGGCCACCTTTGAAGCTGTAAAATTCTCAATCAAGGCAGAGAAGTGCGCATACTTCGAGAGTCTATCCACCACTATCATAATGGCAGTCTTGCCCTTCGATTGGGGAAGTCCTACAATGAAATCCATCAACAGATCTTCCCATACTGCCTTAGGAATCACGAGGGGCTGTAGAAGACCGACAGGGGATAAAGGTTGATATTTGGTGACCTGGCAAATCGGGCAGGTGCGCACAAACTCTTGGGCATCATGCTTCATATTTTTCCAGTAATAATGGGTGGAAATGCGATGTAGAGTCTTTTGTATACCACTATGGCCTCCAATTACGATGGAGTGGAACTCATGTAACAGGGTGATTTGGATGTCGGATGTGCTAGCCACCACAATCCGTCCTTTGAAGAAAACCAGCCCCTCTTTGAAAGAGTATTGTTCAAAGTCGTCTCGTTGTTCCTCAATGGCCTCAGTGATGTTAATCAGTTCGGGTTTCTCTTTGATCTCAGCCCTAATCAAATCCAACAGAAGGTTAACAAGAGTGGACAAGGTCATTACCTCGGGTGATACAACGATAGTGTT